TGGGGCAAGTCAAGATAATCTTCGCGTGAGATAGTAAGAAGCCTTACTACGAACGTTTATGTTTTTGTCTCGCAAGGGTCGTCAACTTAAGGATGTTAAACATTTTAGACCATTCTGTCCATTCGCGACTTACGAGGAGACATTTAGAAATGTTTTCTTCTAAAAGTTTTGAATTTATTGTCGCAAACACCTCTCACGAAAAACGGTAAACATTTTAAAAAGCCTTTAAATTATAATATTGGTTGGTTGGTGAAGAAGCGTTAAAATGTTTTCTTTCAAAGAATCAGCAATCTTGTCGCTAAGGTAGAAGGGTTCTACTTAGAATGCGATATGATGTCCCTTAAATAAACAATTTAATTTGTTTAAATTTGGTAATAGTGTCGTTTTAAACTTAATAATACTAACATATGAAATAAATATAAGGGGAATACAATCAAAATTTTTTTTTGGAAAGAAACATCATCTTTGCATCCTCATTGTAAGTACTAAAAGTATATAGATCTAGATAACTACAGTATATATGCCCAGGCATGTTTGGCTTTATATATAGATATTTTTTTTTTTGGATGTGTCTGTTTTTGTAAAGATATATATATATTCACACTTGGGTGTAACCCGGTGCAGACCACATCCCCCGCCTCCCCACAGTGACGCTACTGAACTTAGGCTCTACTACGGGTAACATGAACAACCAAATCGGCTTAAGAATGTAAATTAGCAGCAGGAAATATCTTACTGCATTGATTGTACTTGAATGGTATTGAATGTTCTGTCTTACGCTAAACTTGCTCGTCTCAGCCGGCCTGTCTTCAATCTGCAAACAGTTCTTGTATATACGGGACTCTGTTTAGTTTCTCTAAAGTCAAAGAATCGATTTAATGAGGTCATGAGGTCAGGGTTAGGGTACCATGACATGTCAAGGGCAATTTTCACGTTCAATGTTCAGAGCAACACTTGACCACTCACAGTAAGCTGGCTTGAGACAGCTGTGTCTGACTGTCACGCTTCACCTACCTCTACCCGCCTCGGAAGCACATTTACAATTGTTTAGATCTACATCTGATATCTAGAAATAAATGTACACAAAAACTAACATACATAAATCACAGAACTCCATACCTTGTACGACAAACGGAAAGAATAGCAGAACATACATCGCGGCATTGACTTGAAACGTCATCTTCTTGATTCTGTTAGAAAAACAACTGGTGACAAATCCTAGTCAAATATTTAGAGCTTATTTATAGCAGCTCACAAAACAAGAGGCGGCTCACCAGAAGTTACTAAAAGCTTTAAAGGGGCATAACATAAGCAGAGTTGTAGTGTGGGGGCAACTGGGCGAATATTGACCTACCTCAGCATCACAGAGGGGCAACTAAATCAAAAAGACTCCAAATGGTCTCCAAGACAACAATTTTCCGATTTAAAAAAATACACTATGGAAAAATAATATACAGATCTATATTTTCACATAATTATATAAATATTTCTTTTTTTTAATTCGCCTTAAAATTACCAGTCTGCTAGTTGAAATTAATTATATTAAACCGGTGGAATAGATAGCAGACAAAAAATATTTTTAAAAGACAAGCGGATTTCACATAACAGAATTCATCCCAAGCCTCAAAATACTTTTTGAGAAATATCTTTAACTCTAAGAGAAGGGGTAAAGCTCTTGGCTTCCGAACAGCAGTGTCTTGGGTTCGAATCCTGGTGACGACTGGGAATATTAATTATGAGATTTTTAGGCTCATCTGAGCCCGCCCAGCTCCAATGGGTACATGGCATTAGTTGGGAAAAAGTAAAATCGGTGGTCGTTGTGCTGGCCACATCACACCCTCGTTAACCGTGGGCCACAGAAACAGTTGACCTCTACATCATGTGGCCTGAAGACCACAAGGTCTGAAAGAAAAACTTTAAACCGAGAACATGTCTTTAGCACGTATTTCTACAAATCTCGAAAAGTTCTTTGTATGAAGATGACAGCGATCCAAAGTCTTAAGTTAATCCATTCCAGATGACGCCATATCCAAACGTACGATTGCTCAAGTGACAAATCAGATTAAAGGTTTGACTTCGGTCGTACCACCAACATGTTTGGTATTTATAGGTAAAGAAGCTTAAGAAAGAATTATCATCTTCCCTGTCAGGCTTTACTGAAGTCGGATTAATCCGGCGCCTGAATGGCTCGAGTTCGAATCATGTTGAACACCAAGATTTTAAATTTGGGACTTTTGGGGCTCCGCTGAGTCCATCCAGCTCAAGCTGATACTTGACATTAGTTTGGAAGAGTAATGTGGGCTAGTCGTTGTGCTGGCCACATGACACCCTTTCTCTTTAAACTTTAGTGCAAAAAAATCCAACAACATCATGTGCTCTTTAGTTAATATATTTTGTACAAAGCCTATACCAATTCATTCTGTCTGGTACAAATTGTGTACACGTTATTTCTCTCACTTCTCATTCTCTTAAAAAAGTTTATACTTGGCAAAATTATTTATTTTCGATGACAAAATAAGAATCAATTGGAATATATTTTTTCATCATCTTCAAGAGAAACCTCTAGGCGTCGAGCGAAAACTTTTCTAAATTTGAGACACTTTGAGGATGAGTTAACTTGTTAAACTAATCTGTATATATGCGAAACGATCCTTTTGTAAGGAAATGATTATTGAATTCTCATTGCTGCTTCAATATTTGTTACAATATCTGTGTTCAAGTTAGAAGTTCAGTGAAATTTTGTCCACGAATTGGACCCAGCAGGAACCTGGACTCAGCAGGAACCTGGACCCAGCAGGAATCTAAAACAGCTGATCTCAAAAACAGCTCTAACGATTTTTTTCTAGAAATTTAACAGTTGATGTATATCGCTGAGAAAAAAATTAATACCTCGTTGGCTACAGTGGAAATTTTAGTTTTATCTCATAACTTTTCAAAGTAAAAAATAAATAATCTATATATGGCTTGACTAGACTTAGAAAAATGCAAACATGATGTAGTTCGTCATAGTTACCGAAATTATATGTTAACAGGCTAAATTTAAAGTAGCCTAATCTACATCTCATAAATCGAATATCTAATCTTTACTAATATTTTTGTACCTAAATCTAATATAGATTACATTTAGATTCTAGAAGTAGATTTGGATCTAGACTAGATCTCAAGTTTTAAACCAGAAGTCTATATCTAGTTTTTGATTTAGATGTCCATAGAATGAATAGTGATAATATGATAATATCAATAAATCATAGTAATGTTCGAAGTCCGGGTGATCGAAACAGTACCTCACTCGGACAGACTCTATCACCAGCCACTCATTGATCAGGGAACATGAAATGCACCAGGATACCTGTTTGTAGTCGCTGAATGAACTCTTTATGTTGTCTGTTGTATTTATGTGTATTTTTCTATTGTGTTGTCTTTATATGAGAAAAGAGTCCTTGTAATCACAACAAATTTCCGTAAGGATCAATAAAGCAGTCTTAGTCTTAGTCTTAAATACACACTTTCACGAATCAGTAAATACACACTTTCACGAATCAGAGGGTATTACAATTATGGGTGCGATACTCGGAGTGAGACGAACATTTTAAAAACTTTTTTTACTTTCTAAGTTGTATAATGGAGGTCAAAGGGCAGGACTAAATACCAGGCACTGAAGTCCTTCGAAGAGCGGATCTACAAAGCATCCTCACAATCCTGATGCAGTCCCAGCTGCGATGGGCAGGACACGTCTGCAGAATGGAAGACCACCGCATCCCTAAGCGACTCTTGTATCGCCAACTAAGCGAAGAAAAGCGCTCGCAAGGTGGTCAAAGAAAGGGCTTCAGGGACACCCTCAAAGCTTCTATGAAGGCGTTCAGCATAGATCCAGCTACCTGGAAGACAGAGGCACATGACAGAGCATCATGGCGTCGCGCTGTGAAAACTGGCGCATAGGTTGCTAAGGAAAAGAGAACAACGTTGGCATAAGAAAAACGCCAGAGAAGAAAAGCAGGCAAACGACAATAGCTCCAACTGGAATAACCTGCCTAGTGTGCGGCCGAACATTCCAGCCACACGAGGAGACATAAAACCCCAGTGCAAAGCCCTCAGACCCTAATGACAAAGTGGTCATCATCGAACCACGACGGACGAACTATATATATAATGGAGATAATCTTTTTTTTAAAAAATGTTTTTCTTATTATATTGTATTTACGGAAACTCGGAAAAGTGAAAAAAAATCCATGAATTCTAATTCGTCAATCTACACGACACTTTTCAAACTAGCTTCCATTAAACCACTTTGTGATCACATTCTTCCGAGAGACAATCCAGCTATGAGAAATTAGAAAGATCTTATAAGAATTCACTCCGGGCTATTGGGACTGTTGAAGCGTGGTCGAGAGGCTAAGTGCGCTTGAACTTGGCTTGTCTCGGCTATCTAGAAGGGGGCTCGAGATTCGACACCCGACTCGGGCAGAGTTGCGTTTACTGAGCGCCTAAAGGCAGCACGGAAAACCAACTTCTAGATACCCCCTCCTCCCCCCCCCCCCCACTGGTCCACAAATGAGATTGGACCAAACCGCTCTGAGCATGCTTTAAGCATGAAAGTAGCGCCATATAAAAGCTATAATAATAATAACTATTTCAGATTGTATGTACAATTTAGTTGTAAAATATGTGCAAATAAATTAAAGTACGTAGTTATAGCATTTTAATCTATTTAATCAGATTTACAATTCTGTGGTATTTTACGTCTCAATAGACGATCTTTTCCCTTTGCAACTTCTTGTTTGACTAAAGAGGCCAAACCTTGATACACAGCTGCGGTCACAGGTTGGGCATATGTGATCACCAGGCGCCGTTGCATTTTCACCCTTTTTTCTTCTACTGTTGTGTGTGGCATCTGCAATCTGGGACCCTTCTTGTATGCTCGCTCACCATGTGGATCTGTGTGGATTAACACCAACTAGAGAATATAGGCTACTCATAATACAATATTTGAACCAAATACGATCTAGAAACTTCAAGTTTATTTCAAGCTGAACAAAAACAATGACATTGTATAGCATTGACTAATAGGATTCGAACGTGGACAATCCGTTAAGGCAGTGATGCTCAACCTTTTCGTCCTGAGGGATAAAGGCCTATACTTTTTCGACGTTTCCGCGTTAACCATCACACACACACACAAATTGTCGAGAACAATGAAACCGATCATTTATTACCGTTAGAAGAAAGTTTAAAGGACCGGATTGTAACTAGCTGTATAGGACCCTCCGTGACGTAGGATAAGATATCGCTGCTCAATTTACTATATTTTAATAAACTTAGTAATAATAATAATTACAATAATGAAAATAATAATAGTGATAATAATAATTACAATAATGAAAATAATAACAGTAATAAAAAATTCACAATGATTGTACATCAGAGGGAAATGTATAATATAGATTTCTTAAAGAGGAGTAACTTTAGTATGAAACTGAGGTCGATGAGAAAGAAGGATTAATTCCCTTTGAAAAAAAAAACATACAGGGAGGAGGAATGTTTTATGTATTTAGATTTTGGAATGTTTTAACATTGCTGTCATTTTGAGGCTTATTAAAGAAAGACATCTGACTACGAGGGAGCTGATTAAATTTTGTCAACATCTACACTGCCCATAAACATATCTTATCTTATTAATAACTTAAGTGAGGCAACTCAACGAGGACATAGACGTTTATTTACATAGAGACATGACAAACACAAAGGGCATCTGCCTTGAGTACAGCATCTCCATATTGGCTCTCGACTTGGGCGGAAATCGTTTGTCTCCTCATGTCAACATCCGACTTGTCTGGTCACTGATAGTGCGCACCTTCTTTCTGCACTATCGTGGATGGCGGTGCGCATGGCAAAGTCATAACATTGCCCCCGTCTTAGCACTTTTCGTCCCGAGCTTTGAGCTTTGACAGTTAAGGTGGAGGTCGATCGGTGGGAACCACAGACGTTAGGGTGCCTGTTGCCCACAAAGCCATCTGCACAGTTTCCCGTGGTCGTCGCTTCCTCTTCTTCCAGTTGACCTGTCTACGCTTGATGCGATATCGTTGTCGCTGCTTCGACCTCATGACGATAGTCGCTGATGCCAGCCAGCTGACACATGGAGAGTTAGTGGAAATCAGGGTTGCCAGCCACGTAACACAAATGGATGTTGTGGCGATCACCGTAGATTCCAGGGTTGTTGTTCTAAGACGCTGAGTCAGCGGACCTTTTCCATGGATGTGTCCTGACACAGTTGTAGACCCACAGCTAGCCATGGTTTCAAGCACATAGTCTTTCTCAGCTTCATCTGTAGGGTATGCCCATAAAGCATCCTTGTAATAATCATCCACCACTACATCAGGTTTTGCTGGGATTAATTCACCACCGTTCAAGTCATTTTCACTGATGTGGGCAGAAGTACACATTTCTGTCAAGTTCAGGTCTTGTAGCTGGGTTTCTTGGCATGGGCACTGTCCCCGCAGGACGCCGCTTATACAGTTCATGTCAATCGACTGGATGCAGTTGCCAAAGTCTTAACAATATCTTATCATATCTGATAGATTACAGACGTAACTTCAAAAAAGAAGATAATTACGTCCGACTCATTTCAACCACTTACATACCGTGTTCATGATGATCTAAAGCACTATTCGGAGATAGCTTACATATAATTAATTTTCTGTAATAAAGTAGTATTGTTTTAAAACAGTTATATGTGTTGTCCTTTGAGATTTAAACACTTACTCTCAACTTTGGCTAAAATCATGTAATAAAATGTACCTAACCTACTGATTTCTTTATTTAATCTTCATTTAAATAACTTTTTTTCCTTTATGTAATTTGAATGACCACTTTTACGCCAACAAATTTTTTTCAATTTGTGTGTGTGTGTTCAAATGTTCTGTTCCGAGCTAAGGGGGGACGTGTCTGAGTAGTCACTCGACTTGTATGGTAGCTACGAGGCATTAAGCCGAACGGCACAGTTTCTTGCCAGAGCACTACGAGAGGATTGAGTCCTTCCTGCTTTGTTTTTTCAATAGGAGTTCATCTCAGGTTCCAAAACGAGACGTATTGCGTTTCAAAGCCTGGAACGCATTCAAAAATATGCTTCGCATAAATGAGCTCTAAGAGAGGTCGCTATTAACAAAAAGTAAATTCAAATAAAGGCCACTACTCCCCCGCCCTAAGACTTCAAAGAAAACCATGTCATAAGTCACATCCAAAATGACATTGTCAAATTTTCATAGTGACATTTTTCAGCAGAACTGAATAATCGTGGTTTTGTTATCTCCCCCTTGACATGCGCACAATAACATAGTTAATCAGCTCTACCTTTCTACTTAATTTACAAATACATTTGAATCATTTTTATATACATAATATACAAATCATTTTTTATCATACAGGGGAAAAAAAAGCCCAAAGTTATTTTAAAAAGTAAAAATCTGAATTGCTAATAAATACGAAAGAAAATATGACAATACAATTATAATAAACGTTAGGTAACAATAAAAAAAATGTGTATCAGCCAAAAAAAATTTCCATGATGGACGGAAAATTCATGATAGTCGCAGCAACTATAGATTTGTTTTTATATTTTGCAAGTTCTGTTCAGACTTAAATAGTTGAAGCAAATGGATTCTTAATTACGATGAAAAAATGTGTTTAAATATTCTAGAAAATAATTTTTCTGAACTGTAAACAATTTACATAGCCTAAAAACTTACACATTTATATTACTAAAATTTTAAAGATTCATCTTTCATCAAATTTTTTAAAGAAGGAAAATATTGCCTATTTACATTTGAGGATATCTATTACAAAATCATTCTTTCTTTTGTGTTAAATATATTATTTAGGTTGCATAATTGTTATTAATCTTCTTGCAGTAAAACTTTTGATATATGATCTCATTAAATAATAATTAAACTTTGTGAAACCAATTTTGTTTCAGGTGATCAAGACTCTGTAGATATAGATTTAAAACAAAAGCCTTGAGACTAGAAACATCAGTCCAGAGACCAGAACTGAGCCCATTGTGATCACGTGACCATCTGGAAAAAGAGGAGAAAATGTACAGGTGTAATTTTCTATATCAATAAATAACTTGTCTGTCTATCTGTCTATCTATCTATCTATCTATCTATCTATCTATCTATCTATCTTTCTCTTAAAAGCTCGTGGTCAACTAGATTTTCAATGTCGCTTTTAAGTTTTTCTGGGTTTAAAACGTGAGACAAAGAGACGAGCAGCACGACATTTGTATAGACATTGTTAGAAATGAGAAGCACTCAAAAGAACCAGTCTTTCAGTGTTAGGCCTTAGAAAAATATAGCAATTGTTGATATGCGAGGCTAAGTGACATAAACCGCTTTGCTACCTATCAAGCAACTTAAGTTTGAAATCAGCACAAAAACCTTCCCCCCCCCCCCCCCCCCAAAAAAAAAAACAAAAAAAAAACAAAAAACCACAAATAGTGATTGCACTATAGTGCACTGGGTGTGACTGAGCATGGTATTCTTTAAAAAAAACCACAAAGCTCCATATAAAGGAAAGAACTGCACATTTAAAGTCATATATCTTAATACGTAAGATTTATTTCCTCTTTACTATATCAAACAAAATTAAGTAATTATCGCTAATTCATGTATATTAATTGATTGATTTGTTTTATTGAGTGATGTTTTATTTGGGGCAATGAATAATTGTGCGAAGTTTCATCTTGATCAAAGAATGAAAAGTAATAGTGAACGTGTACTTCTATCTAGTCCACTAATTCATGATATACTACCATAGATATAATGGGCTCACAGTAATGCGGTTTAGCCTCCATCTTGGTTTGATGACAAGTTAACAGTTATGGACATCTGGAAAATGGAGCCCGTTCTGTCATCTTAACTTTTTCTCTCCGTAATTATTTACCACATTCTAGTGGAATCAACGTTGGTATCGTCAATTAGGAGAGAAAGAGTTAAGGCTTATTTTCAGAGAACATTATGATGCGCAAGATAAATAGAACAGGAGATTCCAGAGAGGGATGAGAAATAGACAGAGAAGTAGAGAGTACTTATGACGAAGAATTCACGGTCATAGTAATAACAAAGCTCCTTTGAATCTTTCAGCCTGTGTAAAATGGTGCAAAACACAAGCCTCAGACTTTGATAACTGAATAATGACAACACAACATCCATATAAACTTTGAGTGTTATGCGTCGCAGAAATATTGGACTTGAAATAGTAATTTAAGTCCACGACCTTTGAAAATCCCGAGCACAAGCATTTTGTTTCCTGTGAGATGAAAGTACATGTGGGAGGTGTGTGTGGACTTTCACGTCTCTGAAGCGGGAAAATAGGACAACCAAATGAACCCATGAACTATCAACAATTTCGGAGAAACTTTTTTTGTCTCGTTATGAGACCATACAACTTCTTGTTTTTGTTTTAATATAATTGAATTGATGGCGAATAAATGGAACAAAAAATATTTAAAAAAAAATATTTTCCATTTTCATTAAACATGTTAATTTATAACAGAATAAAAAGCTTAACTAAGTATCTTATCTTATATAATACAGACGTTACACTTCAAAAAAGAAGATGATTGCATACTATTAAATCCTATTACATATTGTTACAAAATGACAATAGAACATGAATAAATTTAATTAAAGTCAGCAACTCTATGAAAGTATTACATTTTCATGGATCTAGGTCATCAAGTCTTGTTTACATGAAACAAGACCGAAAGGTCACATCATGCGCAGAGCATAGAATCTCGCGACGGCTACATCTAGATCTAATTCTAAGAACTGCACTTTGCAAAGATAGTTTTTTTTGCTTGAAGACATGAAAATATAACCTATACAGGGCCGATCTTAGGCCACTGCAACCTATGCTGTCGCAGTGGGCCCCGCACTTTCAAAGGCCCCGCGCGAATTCTATGTGTAAATTATTAAATTAAACCATTGTAACGTATTATTAAATTCCTGGAATTCTCCTGAAATTCTAAAATATACGAAACAGTCATGAAAATCTCCTGAAATTATTAAAATCTTCTGAAAACTGATGCAAATCTCCTTAACAACAGACAAAATTGTCAGTTTGGGGTGTCATTAAATATGGACAACGCCAATGCTACTCGCGATAAAAAAAACGGCATTGTCAGCTATCATGTAATAAAACATGTAATAATAAGGCGAATTTTAACCAAAACAAGAAGTTCAAATACTTAATTGACTTTTATAGTCCCTGGCATACAAATATAGATCTAAATCTATCTCGACCTCTTAAAAAAAAGATGCTAGTCGATAGTAAAACTAAAAGGCAGATCTAAATGTTTATCTGCTTTTTGTTGGAAAACTACTAT